GAGTCATACAGCATGACATAATTACTGAACCTGGTGTTCATATAAATACCCGAAGCTAGACGAGAAGCGGTCGCGGAAGAAATAAAGAAAATGTTAGAATTGGGGGTGATCGAAGAGTCCCATAGTGATTGGTCAAGTCCAATCGTGCTTGTTCCAAAACCAGATGGAAGCATAAGGTTTTGCAATGATTTTAGGAAGTTAAATAATGTGTCCAAATTTGATGCCTACCCGATGCCTCGGGTGGATGAGCTCATTGACAGACTGGGAACTGCCCGATATATAACCACGTTAGATCTGACTAAGGGATACTGGCAAATACCCCTGACTGACAGTGCAAAAGAAAAGACAGCATTCTCTACCCCCGAGGGGTCTTTCCAGTATAAGAGGATGCCGTTTGGTTTGCATGGTGCCCCTGCCTCATTCCAACGAATGATGGATAGAATACTGAGATCTCATCGACAGTATGCAGCGGCTTATTTGGACGATGTGGTAGTACACAGCCCCGACTGGCAGTCTCATTTGGTAAGGGTGCAAGCGGTAGTCGACTCTCTTAGGAAGGCTGGACTCACAGCCAACCCAAAAAAGTGTGCCATGGGGTTGGAGGAGGCAAAATATTTGGGTTATATCATTGGTCGGGGTTTGGTTAAGCCTCAAATCAATAAGATTGAGGCGATTCAAAAGTGGCCCCAACCTATAAATAAAAAACAAGTGAGAGCATTTCTTGGGATCACAGGCTACTATCGGCGCTTCATCCCCCATTTTGCCACCATTGCCGCTCCACTGACTGATTTGACGAAGGGTAGAAAGTCAGTCATGATTACGTGGAATTCTGAGGCGGATGAGGCATTTATGAGGTTGAAGCAAGCTTTGTGTGCTCAACCGGTGCTTGTGACCCCAGATTTCACGAAGGAGTTTGTAGTACAAACGGATGCCTCTGATGTGGGTCTGGGCGCTGTACTGTCCCAAATCAGAGAGGGGGAGGAGCACCCTGTGGTCTATCTCAGCAGGAAGCTTAATAAACACGAGAGGAATTATGCCATTGTTGAGAAAGAATGTTTGGCTATCAAATGGGCCTTGGACGCCCTCAAATATTACCTGTTGGGTAGGCAGTTCAAACTGATCACTGACCATAGCCCTCTCAAATGGATGTGCGAAAGTAAAGAAAGGAACAGCCGGGTTACGAGGTGGTTCTTGGCTTTACAGGCTTTTAAGTTTACAGTGGAGCACAGAGCGGGGAAGCTTCAGACCAATGCGGATGCCCTCTCACGGGTCCATTGCCTCTCCATGACAGTTGCTCAACCACTGTGGCTTGAGCAGAGGGGGGGGATATGTGACATAAGGAGAGGGGACATCATTGAGGGGCGGTATGTTTCCCCTCGCTTTCTATCCTATGTGCATGAATAGTGGAACCCTGACCAGGGTTTCGCTTTGACTTTGGGTCCGGATAGTCCAGCTCGGGCTTTGGGTCTCACCTGGATAGTTGATTGCTTGATGAATGCTTGTCCAGGTGAGATAAAAGGGGAAGGCTGAGACATGGTTTTGCTCTGGCCTGGGACTCAGACAGCCTTCTGAGAGAGCTACATGTTGGATGTGTTCATAGAGAAAAAGAACTTTGCTGCCTGGACTGTTTTTCCCAGGGAAGGTGATCCCCCATTCGAGCTATACCCCCACAATAGATAGATAGATAGATAGATAGATAGAGTACTGTGCAAAAGTTTTAGGCAGGTGTGAAAAAATGCTGCAAAGTAAGAATGCTTTCAGAAATAAAAGTGTAAATAGTTTATTTTTATCAATTAACAAAATGTAAAGTAAATGAACAGAATAGAAATCCAAATCAATATTTGGTGTGACCACCCTTTGCCTTCAAAATGGCATCAATTCTTCTAGGTACACTTGCACACAATTTGTGAAGGAACTCGGCAGGTAGGTTGTTCCAAACATCTTGGAGAACTAACCACAGATCTTCTGTGGATGTCGGCTGCCTCAAATGCTTCTGTCTCTCCATGTAATCCCAGACAGACTCGATGATGCTGAGATCAGGGCTCTGTGGGGGCCAAACCATCACTTCCAGGACTCCTTGTTCTTCTTTATGCTGAAGATAGTTCTTAATGGCATTGGCTGTATGTTTGGGGTTGTTGTCCTGCTGCAGAATACATTTGGGGCCAATCACATGGCTCCCTGATGGTATGGCATGATGGAAAAGTATCTGCTTGTATTTCTCAGCATGGAGGGCACCATTGATCCTGACTAAATCTCCAAATCCATTGGCAGTAATGCAGCCCCAGACATGCATGGAACTTCCACCATGCTTCAACGTTGCCTGCAGACATTTATTATTGTACCGCTCTCCAGCCCTTCGGTGAACACACTGCCTCCTGCCACAGCCAAATATTTCAGATTTTGACTCATCAGTCCAGAGCACCTGCTGCCATTTTCCTGCACCCCAGTTCCTTTGTTTTCATGCATAGTTTAGTCGCTTAGCCTTGTTTCCACATCGCAGGTAACGCTTTTTGGCTGCAAAGCCACAGAAAAATGGCAGCCCTTAAAAGCAGCCACTTGTTTTAAGGTGCCCTTAAAACAAGTTATTGCATTTAATTAGTTTTGTGCTTCACTGATGACTTCCCTTACTCCAGTTTTATTAAATCATGCAGTCAGTTTAGGTTTGTTTTGCTAAACAGCTATAGGAGATACAATTGTTCTTTGATTGCCATTACCAGTTAACTGAACTGTGCTCCTGGGGTTCTATGAGAGTCTGTCTCAACTGAACATGAGCTAGGACAATCAAAAGTATATTGGTTCCATAGTGACCATAGACAGAGGCAGCCAGGCACATGGTGGCTCTTTAAGGGATGTTTGCCTTGTTTATAAAAATGAAACATTAATAGTTTCACAATAGTACTCAGCAAAATGTACTGAGTAGATATATGTAGAGATTTTATGTCCACTAATTTTAAATATTTGACTCCATTTACACGTTTCAGGTGCGTTGTGGGTGAAGTCTGTTGAAAAATGTCCAACTTGCTGCATCTATTTTCTATCCCAAAGGGTGTTACTTAGGGATCAATCAATGGTAACACATCATAGGTGTTATCCTTGACTCAGATGTTATCTGAGTCAAGGATAATAGGTGTTATCCTTGACCTCACCTTTCTTCCCCACATCCAATCACTATCCAAATACTGCCACCTTCACCTTCGTAACATCTCCAAAATACACCCCTTCCTAACCAATGAAACCACAAAGCTAATCATCCACTCACTTGTTATATCTCGTCTTGACTATTGCAACTCCCTCCTCATTGGCCTACCACTTACACAGGCTATCCCCCCTTCGGTCTATGATGAATGCTGCTGCTAGACTCATTCACCTAACCAACTGCTCAGTGTCTGCAACCCCCCTCAGCCAATCCCTGCACTGGCTTCCAATAGCCCAAAGGATTAAATTCAAAATATTAACGACATACAAAGCCATCCAAAACTCTGCCCCCCTGCTATATCTCAAACCTTGTCTCAAAGTATCACCCTTTACCGTCCCCTCCGCTCGTCCAAAGACCTCCTGCTTTCCAGTTCCCTCGTCAACTCCTCTCATGTTCGCCTCCGGGACTTCACTAGAGTATCTCCCATCCTCTGGAACTCTTTACCCCAACCTGTCTGACTATCTCCGGATCTGACTGCCTTTAGGTGATCCCTTAAGACTCATCTCTTCAGGGAAGCCTATACCCCCTCAACCTAACCACTGAACCATCACGTTCTCAAGCAATTCATCCCCACACAGCTATCTCCTCATGTATCACTTGCCCCTCCCTTTTAGATTGTAAAGCACTGCGCAATCTGTTGGCGCTATATAAATCCTGTATAATAATAATTTTAAACGCACCAAAAACATACATCGCACCTACAACACAAAATATCCACAACACATAGAAATACACAGCGAATACAGCATAAAGTATGTTTCATATGGAAAGGAAGAGGGTTTTTTTTACAGTTTTTGACACAATTTGCCATTTGTTTTTTCGGCAACGTGCCTACTTGTCACCATTTTTTGTGATATTGCTCCTTTCTCTGACACAAATGTACAAAATGATATAACACCAATAAATTCATATAGACTAAGGGAGTGCATTGTGTCCAACCAAAACACTTTTATGACGACCTTTGTAATTCCTCCTAAACACAGAATTTAAGAAATACGCGTGTACCAATGTATCAATATAGAAATGTCAGTACCGAGAGGGATACTTTTCCAATCCATTCGTTTGTATTGATAGTGAAAGAAGCTTGTCCATTGTCATCTGTCATCAAAGTTTTATTGATTTTACTGACATAGCTTGTTAGGTAAACATTAATGCCTGGTACAGGGTTGTCACTGGCATCTACCACTTTCACCTGAAAGAAGACATAATACGATATTACAAACAGAATAGTGTCCTGACTTATGGTGAAAACATCATATATTACATATAATACATATACAGTATAATGAGTTGTATGAAAAAGCAACATGTGGAACATTTAGCTTTGTAGATGGAGGTAACTAGAGTTCATGTAGAACATTTAGGCCTTACAGGTGGAGGTAACAAGAGTTAAATGACAGAAAGTCATAAACATATATTCTGAGCTTGGCTTAAGGAACAATAGGTTCAATGCCAAGACAGTTGTCCTCTAACCTTGATGCGAGGGAGTCTTTTCAAGACAAGAAGACCCATCTAATGTACTTGGCACAATCTAATGTGTGTAATGAGTACAGTGTGGCATTTTTATCTATTTTTTTGGAGATAATTCAAAGTAACACATATGGTTCTATCGTTCAAATCCCTATGAGCACATGTTCTTTGAACGCGCCTGAATTGCTACTTGTTCCGGGCCGGACAAATAAACCAACTTCCTGAAGATCTGCCTGGCATTGATCCTCATTTATTCTACTTCAAATTTCAAAGGAAGCCGAGTGGGATATGTTGTTCACAATCCAACCTTGGATCACAAAATTAGCAAAGAATGAATCGAGAAAGGGGTCAAGTACAGGGAATTCTGGATCAGAAATGTGGAAATAAATATGGGGCTTCCTCTATTCACCACTCTGATTTAGTTTTAATTCGTGACTGGGGCCTGACTTTTTCTGATTCCTGCCCCCTGCCATTCGACTATCCAATGAAATTTCCTTAGTGGCCAGTAAGGACAACTTCATTGGATAGAGAAATGTCAGCTCTTGGAGCTTAGCCATGAAAACAGTAAAAGTGAGGCTCCAATAAGAAAGTGAAGCTACATTAGAGAGGGACACAGAACAGGTTCTTCTGTCCAATAAAGATAATTGCATGCATCTTGTGGGATACGCTCATAGACAGGACAGAAGAAACATGTTACTTCAACTAGTGAACTGCTACATATTCTTTGCTGATGGACAGATTGTATTTAAAACATTTTAACTTATAGCATAGCAGTACTACGCTCAATTTACTAATGTCCAACCCTTAAAACCCCTACTGTCGTTATTTTCAGTCATGTGACTTATTTTGAGCTCTCATTGGTTCTTATTGTTAAAAATAACACTTTTATGACAAAATAAGATAATTTTGCAAAGTGGCAGAAATGTTTTGTAGCTCACCACTCCATTGAATGGGATTCCAGACTTGTAGTTACTGTCAGCATCAACAAAGGACACCTTGTAGATTATGTTTGATATATCAGCTTGGCTGCTTGTAGATAACTCGATTCCTGCCAGAAGAAGCATTAAAAAGAAATAAGACATCACCTTCTGTAAATCAGAGGATTCACCATTGTTCTAACCTTATCATCTTTGTACATGTCCCATTGATAAGCAAGACAGAAGGAAGATTAAAGCAGAAGTTACCAGTCCCATCCTCAGTGATGGAGGCGTCTCCTTTCAGTGTGCGCTCCATTGTAGTGCTTTTCAGTTTAAAGACCCCAGAATTTACAGCTATTGTATCACATCCTGATCTACCCAGCTGCGAGAGGGAGACAGAGAAGCACTTAATAAACTGTGAGAGGTCCAGTCCTGAAGTACCTGCCTTTCTGTTGCACTTACCTTTCCACTGAATTTAGCACAGATGCCTGCAATGTTGTCCTGCACACGTCTCCAGTATGGCAAATGCTTTTGGCACACAGCAGTTGTATAGTTTCCTTGAACTGGCTTCCCATAAGTGTACCTAAAAGACAGAACATATTTTTGGAACATACCATAGATAAAGTGCTACTGTTAATAAAGTATTATTTGGGGAATTTGTGCGCTATGTCATATGTTCACTTTCCTCCAGTCACTAAGCAGTGTTTGCCAATTGCCATAACCATTGTTTGATAGTCCATGCTCCCAATCATCCTTATCCAAGTTTAGACTCACCTTCCACACACGCGAAGTGGAAACTGTTCACTGTTAAACGTCACAACCTTGGGGAACTGAAGGGTAACTTCAAACTTTGGAAGAACTGTAGAGGAAGATTAATTAAAGTTGGTGATGATTACTCATGAGCAAACCAATATGTGTGAATTAAAACAATATGCATTCCACTGACATTTTTTGTTAATGAGCAATTCACACTACCACAGCATGATGTTTGCAGACATCCTTTATGACAAAGACAACAACCTGCTCACTAATTTCCGACATCAGCTATCAGAGAACAGCATAGGTACTCCCCTCATATAACATCACAGTGAACAGGCTTAAAGTAGAAGTAAACCCTAACTGGATAACATTCAGTTTGCTAAAGCAATGCATGTCAAACAACTGCTATGTTTTTTTCCCATAAACATGTTTTTATCTTTTTTGCATTTCAGTGCTACTGATCTCTTTCAGGAACTTCCTGTCTATATGCACATCATAGCTCTGGGGCAGCTTCCTGATAGTGTCAACAGTGGTATATGCCTTTGGAATGTATGTCAACACAGTGTCTTGAAATCTACATTGGGTTTTACTGCTTGGGTTTAGATCTAGCGGGTCAGTCATGCGGTGGAAACCGCTGCTGGTCGTCTGGTGCTGGAGTGAAATTCTGATAATATAAAAATCTTTGAGCTGGCAGGCTGGCAGCTCAAATATTTTTATATTATCAGCATTTCACTCCAGCACCAGATGACCAGCAGCGGTTATCCACTGCTTGACTGACCCACTCCAGGCGCAAGCTCCCTGCAGACACAGCCCCACTATGCTGCATTGTGGAAGCCCGCACCGTAACCACCTCTCCCCCCCCAGAGGACAATTAGCCCCAGACGGCATGTCCTAAGCAGCCGCACACTTTCACACCCCGGCAGCTCCTCTGCCTCTCCTCCCCCCTGCCTCCCGACTGCATCTCCCAGCAACGAGGATGCCACAGCTCCGGCTCCCGTTCCAACACCTCACGAGCTGTCCTCCAGCCTGGCGATCGTCACCAGAGACTACTGCCTCCTCTCCTGCAATCAGGATCTTGCACCAGGATCCATGCCATAGCAAACACCCGCTCGAGGATTACTCCCAGCATTCGTACAGTTAATCGGCCAGACTCCAACCTCAAGGACGACCAGACCAGATCACCGTCACTGAACCATCCTCGGTTCCCTATCGCACCTCCGTTGCTGACATCACCAACCCAACGAACTTCAGGAACTTCACCATCATCCTCGCCGATGGCATTGCATCCATCCTTATTAAATGGTGAGTCTCTACACTCGACACCTTGATTCATTTATTGTGTGATTTCTCACCTCTCCACTGTTCTCTGTTGTGTTCCCGCTGATCACCAACCACCCCCAACTGAGAAGAAGCACACCTGCTCGCTTCCTCATCACCATCAAGCAAGTCGGACCACTCCAACAACCAACCGGGCTCCATTAATTGGTCCACAACTATTCTTCTCCCCGGTCGTGACGCTTCCACTTTTTTTTCTCGTTTTTGTTTGACAACAAAATGGGCCGTCTTTTTTTCTTGCTCTTTGTTACAAGAGCTAACGATCTATTTCCACAGTCAGGGTGACTGAACAGCATAGTGTGAGAAAATATGCTGGTTTTCTTTTGCCAAAATAGCTTGGCATTTGTTAGAGAAGCTGACAATCCATTTCCAAAGTCAGGCTGACTCTACTGAATACAAATCTTTTTGCAAAAATACTCTGTTTGGGCTTTTCAACAAGAGCTGACCATCGATTTGCACAGTTAAGGTGGCCATACACTGTGTGAATGTTGGCAGGTTATTGATGAACAGGATGATATTTGCACAACGGGTGCCGCTTTTGGCACCCTTTTGGTCGCCATCCCTCCATCAGCTGATAAAAGGAGCCAGTTTGAAAATATTCGAACATACAGATGCGGCAGTCAATCAGCAGTGGCCACTGTCAGAATACAATGAAGACAGCGGGAGATTCCTTGATCAATGCTGGGAAGGAGTCTGTTCTATTTTTCTAATTCAGCCTGCAGGTTGAATGAAAAAAATAAAAACAGAGTACGGCCAGCTTGAGCCTATTACAATTGCTCAGCACTGTTTATGAAAAAAAAAATCAGTCTTTCTTTACTATAGGTGCCCATACACCTTACGATTATCGTCCCATTTTCGTTTGCAATCGCGTTTTCGTCCGATATTCGTAAGGTTGATGGTCAGTGTACAACAGTAAATACTGTACAATCGTACGACTTTGACTAACCAGCAGGTTAGAAAACGATTTTCACAAGGTTGGTGGCATTTCCATACATTAAAATTCGTACGATTAACACTGCTCATGCGCAAACGAAAATACGTGCGGTCGATTAACACAATTCGACCTGGTGGTTTTTTTAACTACAGCAAATTGAACCTTGCGATGATCGGGGCAGGATGGGGCCACCGTACGAAAATCTTACGACGGTTCAATCATCGGACGAAAATCGGACATCGGACGAAAATTTATCAAAGAAGGGCTTAGTTTAGATTTCAAACATTAAGGCAAAGATACATAGTTATGCATTGTGGTAACTCACAAAATGTGGTGTGGTGCCATTCAACACACCTCCCAAATGTGTACAATGGGCCTTCCTTTTAGCACACAGATGTGAACCACTATGACTTAAGCTGGGTAAACACGGTAAAATTTCATATAAACATTGGAACAAAAAATCTAATCAGATCATTGGATAATGCCATCAAAGGCTTGATGAGTGTGCTCGATATTTAATTTGAATTCAACATTCGATTTTGGAATGAATGGAGTTTCCCAAATTAAAATCACATTCACTGTTGGAATCTTGTTCACTCAAGAAAAAACTTCCATCTTGTTTTTTTCATCACTTTGGTCGAAATTAGAAAATTAAACGACTATTTTGTATGCCCAGATTTAGTCATCTTCAGTCACAGTGAAATCTTGAGGAAGATATACCACCATTTCTGTAAAATGTAAATATTTTTTGTTTATTTTACATAGTTACATAGTATTTGAGGTTGAATAAAGACATATGTCCATCAAGTCCAACCTCCCAGATAGCAAGAAATTGTGCTGCAAGTTTGAAAATGACTTGCTAAACTATTGCAGACTTGCCAAGCTTCACAATTTTGTTGCACAATTACAGCAAGTCTGCATTGCAAGTCTCCAGACCAGCCAGCTTGCAGAGCTCTTGCTGAGACCTGCAGGACTCTTGCTGTAGACTTGCCAAGCAAATTTGCTACAAATTCAAAAAGTGTCAACTAGAACTTGTGCTGCGAGTGTTCTGCAAGTTTACAACTTGCCAGGAATATGTGCAGCAAGTTAAAAAAATTACAATTTCACGCCGCCACAAGTTTGTAGCAAGTTATCATTGCTATCTGGGCTATTGTGTGTGTGTGTGTGTGTGTATGGGTCCCTGTGTCATCTCGTTATTAGGAGTACCTGTACCCCTGTATATTACCGTTTCTCAGGAAATCGTCCAAAAGCTTCTTGAATGATTCCAGACTATTAGCTGAAATCACTGCTTGTAGCAGTGAGTTTCCTGACCCTAACCGCACGAACTGAGAAGAACCCCCTTCACCCCTTGTGTTTGAATTTTTTTTCTATAATGTGTTTTTAAAATATTCCCACTTTTGGTCCGAGTTCAGTTCATGAAATAAATGTTCCCATTTGATGTCCACCACTAGGTGGCGCAGTCTATCAAAGTTTGTCTCTGAGTACCTACCGTGGAGGTCCTTTCCTTCATCCTGGCTCCTAGGTTTCTGAACTTCTGTTTTAGGACACTCCAATTTCCTCCTATTTTGTCATTGGTGCCGATGTGCACCATGACAACGGGGTCGTGCCCAACCCCATCCAGTAATCTGTCAATTCGTTCCGCAATGTGTCGAACACGCGCCCCCAGTAAGCAGCACACGAAAGAACCATCTGTTCTTTGTGACATTAAACATTTTCTGTTTGTTTTGGAAGTCCTTCATTTCATTATAACATACATATTTTTTTAGCTTGTCATGGAAGTCCCTCTTTTTTATAGAATACATATTTTTATTTGTTTTAGAAGTCCCTCATTTTTTTAATAAAATATGTTTTTTTATTTGTTTTGGAAGTCCTTCTCGCTTGCTGCTATGCTCTACATATTCTAACATGTTCTATTCTGTAGGCTCAAAGGTACCACTAAATTTTTCATTTGCAACAAATACTGTGGGTCATTATTTTTATTTTTTTCATAATTTTGATATTTATTGCTTGGTTTGGAAGTCCCTATTTTTTTATAACAAACTTTTAAGCTTTACGTATTTTTAGATTGTTTTGGAAGTCCCTCATACTTTTAAAATATAAATATCTATTGCTTGTTTTGGAAGTCCCTAACACTTTTATATTTATTGCACACTTTGGAAGTCCCTCATATGTTTACATTATAAATATTCATTGCTTGTTTTGAAAGTCCCTAATTTTTTGTAACATATAAAGTTTTTGCTTGTTCTAGAAGTTCCTCTTTTTTTCTGTAACATACAAATGTTTCATTTGTTTTGGAGGTCTCTCTTCATTGCTACATGCAAATGCAAACTGTAATAGAACATGCAAATTCTAGCATGTTCTATTACAGTATGTAGGCTTGCAGAGATACCACTTGATTACAATTTTTAATTTCCAACAAACACTGTGGGTCAAAATGACAAACAGCATACTCCCAAACAAGGAAAGCGTTTAAATGCATAATTAATAATATAGTATTAATAATAAAGTATTTAAAAAAGTATTAATAATAAAGTATTTAATAATAAAACATCATGTTAATTCATTTTGAAGATTTGTGATTCACAAGGCCAAATTTTGATGTGGATGTGAAACTTGAGGATCCGGATAGGAAAAAATACCTCTAAGACTCCAGTCACACTGAGCTACATCCAGAGCTAATTTGAGCTGAGCGACATTGAGCTACAGTGCACATTTTGTCGCGCTACGTAGCGCGGCTTTTCACAGGGACTTCGTAGCTGCTACATTGGGCTGTAACCAATCAAAAGGTCTTGATGTGACATCATTCCTTCCTTCTTATATTTATGTGCAAAAGTGACACTTCTGTAGCGCGACGTAGTATGACAATGTCGCGCAATGTGGCACGACATTGAGCTACACCTTTAAAGTCAATTGGGCCAAATCGCACAAAATCCGCTGAAAAATAGTTCCTGTTCGAGCTACATGTTTGAGCGACAAGCTACAGTCGACATTGAGCTGTGAGATGTGACCAGCTTCATTGAAATGCATTGGACAAGCTACATTGAGCGACGCTGAGCTGAAATTTGAGCGATTCTGGAGCTGAAATCGCGCAAAATAAATTGCTCCGTGTGAACGGGGTCTAATGAAAATGGCATAACCCAATAGTAATACATGTGGAATTGTAGACAACAATTCTCACCATATTCCTCCACAGAGATAGTATGAACTGTGTCCTTCACGCGGATGGAGTATTCCCCCAGTGGAGGCTCAGAGGAGAGAGGAAGGGAAAGCTCAGCCATTCCCTGATTGAGGCTCACATTCAGCCACTGACCAATCTGGTTCTTTCCTGGATCCTTAAAAGAAGACATGAGTTAATTTACTCTCTTCCCTATGTCAATCTAGGGACTATCATTCTCAGACAAAGTGCCATTTGCTCAGATAATGTTACTCTACTTCCATTTAAAAAATCCTATTTCTAAGACCATGCTGCTGCTGTTAGCTCTTAGTGTCATACCGATGAATGAGAACAAACCATGAGATTACCATGATAGCCAAACATGGTGACCACATGAGGTTTGTTTATAAACAAATGAGCTGTCACCGTGCCTTGCACAGAAAGAGGATAAGTGCACCTTGCAACAACTACCCTCCTCTAGGTTAATTTTGGTATCTTCAAGGAGTGATGTAGGAGCGCTGGTCAGTTATTTTCCTGGTATTAGATCATCCCACAGGAAGTTCATCTTGATTCATGGGATTCCCCATATATTGGTGGGATTCTTAGTATGTGCTATCTATGGGTATGCATTACTATTATTTATGTATTACAGATTTGCTTTAAAGTTTATTTCCACTTTTGCAGCCTAATTGGGATAACACCTATTTTATATTTGTTACATTTTCCCATTTACATAGCATAAGTTAAAAAAAAATATTTTAAAATGCTTTTATTTGGGTTAGGGTTTTAAGGGTTACAATTTCTTCTTGCTTATATTTCTTTAAAGTGTTAGAAGGGGCAGCCACGGGTGAGGGGTTTAAAGTAGCTTGGCCAGTGTATGTTAAACTAGCCATCTTGCCTGCTATGACAAAATATCTAACAGGTAAGAAATATTTTTTTTAAAGTAATTTTTCAGTATGCTGTGTGAATAGGAACACATAACAAACACATAGAGGAGCTTGTAAAATTTGACTGCAAAAGTGTAAATACACTTTAAGACTAATTTTAGCTTTTAAAGAGACAGATAACATATATTTTAAGTGCAGTGGTCATTTTACTATGGTGAAGTTGAACAAGATCAAAATGTACTAGTACTAAAGCACAAGCAGAACTGAAACATACACAAACTATGCCTCACTGACAAGGTATAAATGGTATACAGTAGGGATGCACCGATACCGATACTAGTATAGGTATCGGTGCCGAGTATTTGGTCGAGTATTCGTACTCGCCCAAATGCTCCGATGCCTAGCCCGATACTTAAAGGAGAACTATGAGGTGAGTGCTTTTCACTTATCCTCATAGTTCTAGCCGACATGTGACAATGGAACTGTCACAGGTCGGCTCAGTAGATCGGGAAGTGAGCGAACACATACCGCCGTTCGCTCACTTCTCGATCCTGTCACGGATCTCTGCCGTGACAGGGGAGGGACTGGATTCTGCCCTCCCCGCGCCGATCCTCCAGCGCTGAACGGACGGGGCGGGTAGAGCTGGCTCTGCCTATAGATAGGCAGAGCCAGCTATCACTCACGCAGCTCGGCAGAGCCGATTGTCCAGAAGCCAGCTTCATGCTCCCTGGTCACAAAAATTGGAACTTCAGAATAACACAATTAAATAATGAGTTTAAAATAATACTATTGCATTATTCATTTGGATTTAAATATTCCTTTAATTGTTTTTACCTGTAGTTCTACGACTGGAAGCTAAAAAACAAAGACAAAAGAAAGATATTCAAAATTATGACTACAATTTTTAACTAATATTTGCATGTGCCTTATTTAATTGTAACCAATATCATTGGTGTTGTAAACTAATTACAAAAAATATTGTTTTTATTTAAATTATAACTAAAAATAGTATTTTAATGTATTTTAATATGTTTTAACTTGATTGGTTTCATGTATGTAAATAATCTTATGGGTCTATTTTTCAATGTTTTTACCCAAGATTTCTACGCACTGTTTACCCAATTTCAAATATTTTTCAAATGGAATGTGAAAAATGTGTGATTCATGGGTGAACGTTATATGAACTTTAAATGAAAATACAAAACAATAGACACATTAGTGCAGGGGTCACTTTGAAGTGCACCTGTAGCAAAAATATTTAACAGTTAACTTTTTATGTTAACAGTAGATACCATCCAAGTTGTGTTGATATTAGATACTAGGTTCAATGCATGGGCGTAACTAGAAATCACAGGTCCCCATAGCAAAATTTGGTATGGGGCCCTGTGATTTCTAGTTACGCCCATGCAGAGCCCACCTGATATCCCAAACAGCCCACCTGATAGTGACCCTGCAAAGCTCACCATAGACTCACTATGATGGGTTCTGCAGGGTCTCAGATGGGCCGGTCACACCACCGCCTCTTCCTCCTCCATGGTAGTTGGCGGTCCCTGCCTCCTCCGTCGCCGGGCCCCGACTCCTCCTTCGCTGCCAATGTCAGGCCCAGACTCCTCCTCCTCCACAGCTGCTGGCTGTCACTGACTCAGGAGGAATGCGCTGATGCACAGATCACTGACAGGTGATCTAACGGCAACACGTTCCTCCTCACACCCAACAGTAACAGCCAGCAGTCTGAGATACCATAGCGACCCAGGCGGCCTGCACGCATCAATCAGGGGCATGCCCTGACCGGGCCCCCCTGTGCCCCGGGCCCCATAGCGGCTGCCTGGGTCTCTATGGCAATTTTTCGCCACTGGTTCAATGTGCCTTTGCTGCACCCCAACAGCTTCAAGATGTCCTAAATAGCGACTTTTCTGAAAATTGAGTAGAAGCACAGCCCGCAATATAATAGACATGCCTCTTTTTTAGTCAAAAAGACACCCACAGGCATTGCCATGTTTAGAGAAAACCTGAAAACTTGGAAATTTGGTGAAGCCGGTAACAGAAGGGGACATACAATATTTATAATGCAGTGAATATGAGAATCACCAGACATTCACTGCCTTTCATTTTTAGCATCTCCTTCTACATACATGTTCACTTTAAACTGTTAATTAGTGCTATTGGAAGCATTAAAAACATACGTTAATATAATTTTTTATTTAATTTTGATTTTATGCATGCTTATATTTTCATACACACCAGCATATCTTATTTCACTCACCACTTTGTCTCTGGGTTGAAGATCTTCATTTATTGACAAAATTCTGAACTTTACTGCAAAAGACAAATATATACTGTATGTATGTATGCCCCTTTTCTAATCCAAACTTTTTTGTTGTTGTTAATATTGTGCCAAAAGGTTTGTATGAACCCTAGATCAAAAACTTTAAAAAAAACTTGACTGTTTGCATAATGTGTAATATATATGTATATATACATACACACACATATGAGAATATATTTTTATATGAGGAAATAAAAAATATGAGAATATATCTATACAGTATATACATACAGTATATATACACATACATACATAGGTGCGCGTGTGCCTGCAGGAGTAGCAGTGCTGGTGGAGGGAGGGAGGAAAGGAGCTGCCCCGCCCTGCCCAGTTATAATATTAATTGTTTCCCCCCCTATCGAATCTGCCACTGGCCCTGCCAGCGGCGCCCGGGGCACGTGCCCCCCCTAGCTTCAGCACTGCCCCCAACCACCCCCGTGGCTCCCCTTCCCCCACACTGAGCTACTATTACCTGGCTTCTCCCCACTTTTTCTATGCTCCCAGGCCACCAGTGGTCCACAGACCACCGCTTGGCGATCGCTGATCTAGATGCAGGCAATGTTCAATATTTGGCAGCCACAAGAGCAGCAGCTGCTGAATATGATAGCTAGCAGTGGGAATTCCTCTATCCATACTGTTTAGTGGGGATGGGGGCAGCTAATGATTTCTCTTGTTCAGGCCCAACAGTGTATGACCTGCATAAGTGTGGCGTTGGGCTTTAATGCCCATCTAAGCCTCTTTCAGAGTGATAAACAGGCATTTGCAAGGTATATTACATCTCTGTAGAAATGTAATTTACCTTATTTAATGCTAAATGCAGCTGGTAGCTTGATTACTCCTGCATTCAAGTAGACAGTGCTGGAGGGGGTGTGGGTGTTGAGCAGGGCTTTTACATTGTTTCCTTCTGCTCCTGCAGATAGAGAAATGTCCTGTCAATCTGAAGGGCTGTGGATGGAGCTAGGCATGTATATTTACTGATGTTTCTATCAATGGCGCCAAGATCTAAGCAGCTACAGCAGCAAGTCTGACAACGTTGCAACAATTTCACATTAGAAGGAAGAGCATTGTCACCCTATCAAAGGAAGTCCCCATCCAATGGTAGATATGTTCCAGGGAAAAACATAGAGCCCCGTCATATTGGTATAAGCAGTGTACATAACAGAAATTATTTTCTAACCGTAGCTCTACTAGCTGTATAATGTGTCGTGTTGCGTCTAGCTCCCTTCCAGTATTTCCTGAATGGCACAGCCTTCTGGTTGATTTTACTTGCCTAGAAATGCTTTTGAAAAGAAAATGTGAATTTATAACACGGCTACAAAGTCCTTTTTTGACTGAACAGTTACCAGTTTGTCCCGGCTTGTACACAGCTTTGTCTGATTGAACCAGCAGATTGAATCTCTTCTTCCTCACCAGAACGTTAGTGCTCTTCACTATTGTATTCCCTGCATTTTGTACGGAGATGCTTAACTTGCCAACCACCTCCTTCTCTTGAGGCCTGGAAACCTAAACAATTAAAAAAGCATAAAGCAAACTACAGTATAAGCAATGGCAATGAATTTCAAGTCTTTATATATTTAAAGAAGAAAGCTGAATACGTTGAACTGGAATTCCAGCAAACTGCTCCACATGCCCACTGCCCATTGTTTACATTCACCTGCCAGCTGCGGAATCGAGCCGTCGGCCGCAACAAGATGTAAATAGAGAACTTATTTAGCAACTGAATAAATTTAGTTGCTGCCAAAAAATTTAGTGTGCACTGGTCTAAATTGAGGACATTGTCCTCAATTTGTTTTCTGGTTTCTTGAGAGTTTTGGTTGCTTGAATGCCAGATAAAGGGGAGAAATACTGTATAAAGAGTTCTTCTTAACATTCCAAACATATAACGTCAAACTTTCTGAGATGGGAAAGAGGGACATCTTCCAGCCCAGCACAATGTATTTAGGCAATGGACCTACCTCTGCACACCATTAAGAATTTATATGCCAAAAATGATTAGGTAAACCCAGAACTGTCTTTTTTTTCACCATTACTTTTCTGATATTTTAGCTTTTGGAAATAGAAAACAGTATAGTTATATTATAAAGAGATGAGATAAAGGTTTTAGTGCAAAATAACACTATGTGTGGTTAAATAGTACCTATAAATAGACCAAAGATAGGGAAAACTGAGGAGGAAAGAGGGACAGAGGGATGTGGTTCCAAATGAGTGCCAGTTTAGAGGTATACAGACATGAGCTTGAGATGCTGGCTGGGGGACCTGCTTTGCATTTTCTGGTCACGTAAGACTATCAGAAATTTCTTGATTAAAGGAGAACTATGAGGTGAGTGCTTTTCACTCACCTCATAGTTCTAGCCGACCTGTGACAATGAGACTGGGAGGTGAGCGAACACATACCGGTTAGCGATCCTGTCACGGCTCTCTGCCATGACAGGGGGAGGGGCTGGATTCCCCTCTCCCTGCTCCGATCTGCCAGCGTTGACTGGCGGAACAGATGGGGGAGGGGGCGGGTACAGATGGCTCTGCCTCTAGATAGGCAGAGCCAGCTGTCACTCACGCAACTGGGCGGATCCCGTCATCTAAGTCGGGATCCGCTCCGGCGTCTCAGTATACTGCGAGCTGTAGCTCGCGGTATACTGAGCTTAGGGTAACGGGAGGACGCTAGTTTGTGTCCTCCTGTTACCCTAAGGAGAACTATGGGGAAAAACACTGACCCCATAGTTCTCCTTTAAGGTCAGAACCAGAAACTTACTGAACATGCAATACCAGACACACTGGCCTTCTTCTTGCAATGTTTGAGTTCTATGCCAAGAAATAAGTATCAAAAATTGGTTATCATACATATAATTAAATTGGACCTTTACAATCAAAAATAAAATTCCACCAATGCATCCCTCTATGTATGATGATTAATAATAACAGACTTGTCAGGTGTAAAATGCTGTGATTTTGAAATACTTTCACTTGCAGAGCATTCACTTCCTGCTTTGAAAGAGCAAAATGACTTGAGTTTGCCAAAGCAATGCACACTGGGATTACCTCGTCATCAGCAGAGCATTGCTGGGAAATCTCATCTGTTACCTCAGGAGATCTCAGGGAAAGGCATTTTCCTCCCCTGAGATGATGTGCATGGTCACATGTCCTAGTCACATGTGCTAAAAATCCAGGAAGTAAAAGGAGAGCTAGTAATCTGCCCTTAGTAAACATGGCCACTGTCAGAAGAATGGGGATTAAAAGAGAAATAAAGTATGTAAAGAATTGTCATTACTAAACATTTCTAAAGGTGTGATTGCAACAAAAAATCTGCGCTTTTGGAAAGTAAACTAAAAGTCAAATAATGATCCTTCAAACCTAAGCATGCATACCTGCAATCTAGAAAAGAAAACAGCTCCCTCTATCTTTATGTAGCCGCAGAGAATCAAAGAGATTAAGGTAATACAAAGTAAAGCTTGGAAAAGGCAGAAGGGAAAAGGGAGGAAGGAGGAAAGAGAAAGGAGCAGGGAGCAGAGGAGTGGTTTGCCTTGCTATGCCTGTGTGGTTGTAGAGAGACACACAGCTTACTAGCACACACAATGTTGGCTCCATAGGAACCTGCAACGGAAAGGAGCCACACTAAAACAGGATATCAAGGGCAATGCTTAGGGGACCAGCTGGTTTTGCAGGAAGCTAAAACTTTTAATTATCAAGAAGCAGCATCCATTGTAAGTGATTTCATCAGCATTTAAAATACCGTAAAAATCTTTTGACTTTAATATCTTTTTAAGCATTTTATAGATGTAGACTTAGTTACCTGGATTGGAACACAGGTGGATATGGAGTCCTGCTTGAAGCTCTTCTCTACAAGGATTTGATTGTTTCCCTCTAGATCTAAGGAGATCTCGACTCTGCTCTCCCCCTGAGCCCCCTCCAGATGTATACATATGGTTTCAGAATGCTGGGAGCGAATCTCGGAGGGGAAGATGACCGCATAGTGTCTGAGGAGAGTACAGTGGATATTAGAAGCCACAAAGGGAGACATAGAAATAAAACATCTACAGCATTTTCTATGTATAGTATACTTAGATTTCAAATGTTTAATAACCTTCCCAAACCCATGCACATTCTAGTCTAAATGATTCCATCTGGTGGGATGGGACCCAAGAGTCTGGCAGCTATTAGTATAGTCATCATATCAGTAATCACCTGCTTGTATGGGCTGATAGTTTTCCTCAACACCTAAATCAATGGTACTCAACCTGTTTAACCTCCGGACCCACATTAAGTCGCGACCAAAGTCGCACTGCAATGGAACGCACGGCATTGTGGTACCATGCATTCCAATGTGGGCAATTGTACTGTGGGGGTGGGAGGTGCATTTGGGGTGCCATTCAAATGGAAACGCAATGCACCTTCCACACCAGAATATGTGATAGGTGCCATTGCGTTGTACAGTGCGATAATTGAACGGGACTGTGTGATTAACCCACTCCACTAGTGTGAACAGGTTCTCAAAAACACTGACTGACGCACACAACCACAGACACAATCTCACAGACATTCTCACATACACATACACACTCCTAAAAAGAAAATGTTTACATTTTTTTTTAGGATCCATCCAGTCTCCCTACCTTACGGGAACTGGAGTGGATCATCAGCCTGGTGTCCAGTGTGGGCTGCATGCCCTGTAGAGGTGCCGGGAGCCAGAATGTGATGTCCCTCCGGTCCAGGCACCTCTACAGGACATGCAAGGGAGCTGTAGGCAATGCACGTATGGACGTAGCTCTCTCGCAGCCATAGCCCTATCCCACCGAACCTCAAGCTGACACTGGGCACCGGGCAGCATATTTTAAATGGCTACTTGGCGCGAGATCTGACAGTGCTGCTCTAGGGGGGCAGCTGAGGAGCCTCTCACCTAGAAAAGTGGAAGTCACTGAACACGGGGTCGCAACTCACTTTTGGATCACAACCCACCAGTTGAGAACCAAGGATCTAAATGATAATCCACCTTATATTTTATCCTCTTAGGGCCAAGGCAGACATGTGCGTAGTGATAAGGCGTGAAAACACACGTTTTAACCATACGCTGCCGCAATATTGCGCAATCTAGGATGCAGTAGACATGTAAATTTAGTTTGGTTCCAAATGGATATTTGTACGAATTTTATTAAATTCAGACGAATCCGTATTTCTGAATTCCAACACGTCTGAATGCAAACGTATCCGAATGTCCGTTAGACGAAAATTCAAATCCATCCGAATTTTGTTCAAAACGAAACTAAATCCGACATATGATCTTTCTCTGGCCAATCAGATGTTTTTTTTGGTTGTTGGGGGGTTGCATTACAGGCATGGTCATGTGACTTCCTTCCGAAACAAAAACTCGGATGTACAGGCAGCTGCACGCAATTACACGCAGGACCTGTCCCTCCCGGGAGCAGCTCTCTGCATGGGAGTGCACATCTGTACACCATGCATGCCCATGAAGAGACCTGCTCTGAGCCCTTCGGCTAGGTTCCCAGTTCCGCATCCGTGACTGTGCGGCAATCGTGCACGAAACCACTTGGATTGCCACGGAGTCACACACCTCCGCTGATTGCACTGGTGGTGCCATTCTTTTCTAATGGCACCTCAGTCGCACCGGGCAGAACGTGCAGTTTCCCACTGCGGTTCCGCCTGTGCAATCAAACACGATCCTGGCTTAAAAAGCCACATCTTGTGTGTTGCAAATAAAGGTGCCTGTACCTTTTTTCAGTCATTGCCGCACAGATGTAACCCCATTGAAATCAATGGTGCCACGCAGCAACTGCTATGTGCAACTGCACACAATCACGCGGTCCCCGGGACACGCGTCCAGGATCGCCTAGGTCTGCACCGGCCCTCAATCCTACATAAATCATGAGCAATTTTCTAAACAGCAGTATATAAAATGGCAAACAGAGTGCTGAAAGAATGAATCAGTAGGATGATCAAATGGTTAAAATTCCATTATTTGAAGTCGATAGTCAATTCATTTCAGGTTTCACCAAAATCCCCATTCAGATTGACTAAATGCTGTCTAAGGATCGAGTTACACTAGCAAGTCACGCTAAAAGCACGGGTGCTGGTGTGCACTTAGAGAAACAGCGCTGACTCACTGATGATGGTGCATCTATTTTATTAGACATGAGGATGCAGAGGGACATGCCACAGCTGGAGTAGAGGGGGAGAGAGATAAGCAGTCATTTCCGCAGGACTGAGGATTGGGTGAGTATTTCTTTTTTTCACCATCCCCTAGAGAAAAACCAGCAGTTAACCCTGGAGTTCTGCTTTAATCCAAATCCCTCCCTCACTGAAATGCCGACAAATCTCACTCGCTAATGAGGGCGTGACATCTCTCATAGCATAAGTTAAGTGGCCGTCAGCCTTTTTGGACTCATGGGTGATTCCGAGCAGTAGGTGGCGCTGTGCTCATTACTGACATCCGAGCAGGAGGTGGCGCTGTGCTCAATACTTACATCCGAGCAGTAGGTGGCGCTGTGCTCATTACTGACATCCGAGCAGTAGGTGGCGCTGTGCTCATTACTGACATCCGAGCAGTAGGTGGTGCTGTGCTCATTACAGACATCCGAGCAGTAGGTGGCGCTGCCGTACTGTAACGCATGGTAGGTGTGTTGCGCGATAGCGTGCAATAATTGCACAGTGCCTTGCAAAAAAATGCACCACAGCGGTGTGAGCCGGCCCTCAATCACCGCTGCCACCAGTTAATTGCTAGTGTGGGTCATGTGTTTGGATGAAGCACTGAGATCTTGAGGAATGCTAAATTACATTTACTTGCTTAGGAGAACATGTGAATACAGCATTGTGCAGGACACACACACCTAGGACCGCCTGGTATCTTAGCAACGTGCAGCCAGGGAGTTGAATTATTACAGTGGGTTGAAGCAAACAACCAACCACCAGTGGCATCACTGGTGATTGGTTGCTAGGATCAACTGGCGTCCTAGCAAACCAAGCAATGACGTGCTGCCTCTCCAGTCCGCGCCTTTCCCAGCATTCAGCTCTGCATGTTCATTGAGGTGCCTGTTGCCTGCCCCCACCCAAGTAATCAGTTTATGGCCAGCTTTAGTCTCTTGGTCTACACCTCACCTCTTGGATCTTGAAACTACTATTCCATGGCGTATCCAGTGCCCGGCACATGGCATGGCAGACTGCTGCTGTCGTTTTTCAACCCCCACTGCTGCCGGTTAGTTGCTAGGACTGCCTGGCTTCCTAGCAAACAACCACTGAGTTGAATGTTTACAGCGGGTTGACTGACACTGCTGCTTCAACCGGTCTCCTCAGTTCGTTAATTAATTGGTCCCGTTTTCTCCCTTAGAACAGCATTTCTCGGGGGGGTGTGGCTAACCCATGAGTGAGTGAGGATGTGTGTGCTTTGAGCTCCTGCACCTGCTACATCCACATCAACTAGCCAACTAACTCGTAGATCAACTAACTCGTAGCCAACTAGTCAACTAACTCGTAGATCCTGTAGCTGCCTCGGTCGGACTAATCAGCGGTCGTCTTGGAGTCTCTGTACCCGCTCTACTAGCATCAGCCTGCTATCAATTTTATTTAAATTTTTTCCTTTGACTGCCTGCTCCGCTCGCATTGGTCCGCTGACATACCAGCAGAATGAAGAAGAGCAGTAAAAAGAAAAAAACCCGAGAGATAATTCAACCCTCCCAGTTGGCGATTAGAACAAACATCGGAACATATTTCAACAAACAGGGAGCAGATGTTATATTTTGAAAATCTTTAATAAACATTTAATATGAAAAAAAAAAAAATTATTGGTCCCGCCCCATTGGTCCAGCTTTAGTCTCTTGGTCTGCACCCCACCTCTCAGATCTTATACATTTCTGCACGGGCCAACTGTGTTTAAAACAACAAAGACTGATTTATAATCTACCATCCCTCTACAATTTCCGGTCTGTAGCTGGCTTCACAACAACCCAAAAGCACAAAGTTCAGGAGTCCTGCTCTTCTAGGGCTACAATGTAACCTTTGCAATGTAAACCGACCTCTGATCTTCTAATCTCTGGGAAGTGAGGTGCCAGAAGCAGGCCAGGGTTATGGAGGTCATATGGCTTCCCTACACATTACTATTGTGTGGGCAGCCTTGAGGAGGAGGAGGGTGTTCAGCTATTTAGGGTTAACCAGTATACAGGCTTCCTTGGCTGCCTACACAATAGCCCTCTCCTGGCCTTTCAGTGCCCCTCTCCATTTTCCTTGCAACTCAGAATTCCAGCTCCCTCTGCATATCTGATGTAATGAGAATGTATCACATTGATATCCACACAAATGATACTACAATGTGTTACTGTAAAGGAAACCTATGCAGAGAGCAATACAGGGGCTGCCTGTGCAGATCTCCTTCTAAAAATACTACTTTCCTGGCTGTTTTAGGGTTTCAGTACTTTTTGAGTCACTGGCCCAGTTCAAGCATGAAGCAAGAAAAGTCAGAACTTCTGCTCTGTATACTTGTTTTGGGTCTTTGTCTCAGAAAGAGACAATTGGATTGATATGATGGCCAGACAGCCATTTTGAAAAGGAGAGGTCAGCACCGGCAGCTTCCAAAGGGTGGTGTTAACCGGCCCTTAGGGCCCATTCACATCATGTCCAAATCATCTCCAAACCAGACTAGATTGTTTCCAGACCCAAAATGCATCCTAATGTATCCCTATGCTATTTCTGGCCTCTGTTTACACCAGCGCAGTCCATTTCAGACCAGACCAGAAAAATACTGCATGTCTCATTTTGTCTGGTCTGGAATGCACTAAAAAGCATAAAAATGCCTTAAATATGCATTTAAACGCACTGGAACGCACATAAAAGCCCTTTTTAGCTTAAAAAAACCCAGCTCCAGAAAATGGTGTGAACCTAGCCTTAGTTCACACCAGAACTGCAACCGCATGTGTCTGTTGTTAATAAAGGAACTTTTGCATTTTTAAGGATTAAGTCCTGAGTTTAGTGTCACTTTAATCGTTGAGCATTCTAACACAGAGGGAGTGAGTTCAAAGTCTCCGTCTAGCCAATGGGTAAAACAAAATTAAAATAAATGTACGCAGCTATATTCTGATTAAAAACAACTCTTCTCAATTCAAACAAAACAACCCAACACAGTAAAAAAAAAAATATA